ACACCCTCGATTCTATTCACGCTGTGATGCTTAGTGATTTCTACCGCCTCGGCTATCAGCCGTTGTGGTGTGAATCGCAGTCCCCGTCTTAAGACTTCCACATTCTCCAGATCTATTCTATGTCCCCTCTCTAAGACATGTACCGCCATCGCTGAGTCTTTGACAAGCGTTTGGTATTCTTCTGCATTCCTTGGTGGTTTGTTAATCCTTCTTTTATGCTCACCAATTCTGGTGTGCAACTCCCTGGAAGTGTGTCCTGTATAAACCTTAGCGCAACCGTGACAGTCCCTAGTCCTTTCAGCCGGCAGGGGATCAAGTCAACTTTCAATACCATCGATAAACTTAGGATCATCCAACGACTCCAGCGCTATTCGTGAAGGAGCTGAGAGTGGAAAAGTATGACTATCTGTCTGCATTCTGGTTGCGTTGCTGTGCCAGCGTATACAAGTTGTTTTCCACCGAATGGTGTGCCTTCGTTTGTATGAGTTTAGTGGTTAACAGGCACGGTTTAATTGAGTATAACAACGCCGCGTGCGATAAAGTCATAGTATAAGTACGAATGTTCGTCAGTGTTACCTCGGAATCTATTATACTGTACGACGATAAGACGGTGCCAACTTCATCCTTCTCTCTAGCTAGGTTGAATAAAGCAACCGATTTCGTTTTCCTTAAAGGGCTTGTTGTCACCTGATAGAATCAGTAGCCTATCCTTCGTATTAATCGTGTATGCCCACATGATATTATCGCAAAGAAAGTTGTTACGTAGAGAGTAATCACAGAATATGTGTCCTTCTGCTAGCTATTACTGTAACATTATCCCGTGGCTCCAAACTGAGTCTCATTTCGTCAAGATGGCTTACTTATGGTCTTTGATCATGACTTGTTTACCACTTGCACAGCAATTTCGAACACATTAGCCTGTATAGCACAGCAGGCATTGAAACAATTTATTAGCACACTGCTTCGAAAGAACAATTGTTTGTCTACATGCCGATCACTGACAGAAAATGACCTCAGTATTTGGCTTGACAATCACAGCACGGTTATTAGTACATCCCTAGCTGCTGTGTAAGAAACCATTCGAAATTTCTGTGTGGGATGTCATGATGGGCAATTACTTGTCCTCATTTGCACGTCACTTCAAGTTGACTACACGCAATCTTCACATCATGGTTGCTAGCTGTCTAGTCGTTGTGAACGGGCTTTTCCTAGAGAACACTAGTCCACAACAAATTATTCGAGTGCAAGAGCCAAAAATGACTGAAGCAGAGTTTGCAAAACTCTTCGGTTACAGGCCCGCCTAGCACTCCAATGCAAATCCGCAAATCAAATGAAAATAGAGCTAAATTATTCATTGAAACGCCATTACAACTTTCTGCCGTTATTGTTTGCTTCCATCAACTGACTGTCAAGGCGTTTCTTTAGTGATTTACCATTTTTATCACGTCGTTAGGGAGATTGGTCTTGCCGCCACCGCATTCACATTTCGCCCGTAAATAGGAATTACGTTTTGATGTTCTGTTGAGGAATCTAAATCCACTGGCAGGCAATTGGCTAGTAACTTTGTATCGTTTGTGAATGACGAATTACTTTATGGGAAGTGTACTGAGTCGAAAAGAGAATTCTGCAAAGTAATTCGTATACGTATCAAACATCAAAATCAACATTCATACACTGTCATTTCTCTCCAAACACCATTTAAATTTTGTCAAATTTGACAGACTTTTATCTGAGTGTGATAAACGGTTAGCCGCTTTTCTCTTGTTGCAATTTCTCAAAGCCAGAATATATGATTTCGTGCATCACCAATGGGTGGATCTCGGGTTTTCCCATATGCCGTATTCTTGGTAAAAGCGTTGTATTTCATTGACTTCTTCCTGCCGCTTCTTATCTTCCAACTCGTTTAGTGCATTCCTGAACCAATCATTAAGGAGGAGCATGGCTTTTGAGTCCCTTTCATGCTGTTTAAAAATGATTTAATTGGTGGATAGAATGAAGCAGAATTCCGTTTCTGTCATGTTTTTTCAAAGGCTAATGCAGTTGATTGGACAAATCTCTGTTTAAGGGGGAATAGTAGTTAGTATCTGACGCTGGCGTGTACACCCTTTAGTAGTATTGGAGTAGCGGTCGTTACGGATTAGTTGGGAGGAGGCACTGCCTTCGGAAGAAACCTGCGCCATACCAAATTAAATTGAGCAACATATTAGATACAGTGCAACAGCTTTTCAGTAAGAACTTTCGTGAGATTTTCTCTAAAGTTGGATAAACTTTGTTAACATGAATAAGTATCAAACGATTGTTTTTAGCAATCTATGCTGTATAAATGTCCGTTTTTCGATCACTCATTAAATTTGTCGTCCTTGTTCAGCTGCCCTAAGGTGTGTGAATCGGTGAACCGATTTGAGTAGAAACTTGCGATCGTATTGCATTGATTGCCTCTGAACTGGTTCGATTCCATCTATTGCTCCCAAGCATCGAATACCGATTAAAGGTAACTTTCACTCTGGCGACTGATGTGCTCCTCGGTACTGCTGACTGTGATTCTGTCCACCAGTCTCGAAGTGGCCTGCACTAGCACTCATTACCAAATGCCTTTTTTTAATACTTCAATTCACCTATTTCTTTTATCAAATGCTTGCAACCAAATATAAAATTCCTTGATTTCAGTGCATACGATTAGGCTGTTCCCAATACAATGCATGTCACGAGTTGCTCATCAATCGGTACCGTAAACAAGCACGCAAAATGTGCTGTTTCATCATTTTGTAAGTTTGCTGATGGCCAGGGTTTTAACATCTCCCTGTGTTGCAATACATATGTGCTTTGGTCTAAAATTCACTGAGATTCTGTGTCCCTCAGTTCCCCCAGACAGACTGAGGGAATCAACTGGAGTGCTTACTTCTGGCACAATTCAGTGGTTTTTGTCGTACCAAACGTATGTCATAACCTTGTTCTTTTGTCGTGGGGACTATTCAAATTTAACGCAGGGATTGACTTTTTAGTTCGCAATCAACCACACTAGCCGTGACTAGCTAGTTTTCGTAAAGTGTACATCATCTGCATAAATCAGTTTTGGTAGAAAATCTTCTCGTAGGGATCATTCTATACACTGCTAGCAGTTCTCGGATTTGCTAGATGTTGACTTCATTTTTATCGTTTGTTCTCTATTCTTGTGATCAGCTCCGCAGTTCCGTTGATACAGAAGCCGTGTTTGGTCGGGACAACTAATTAGAATTCTCGAGAATATCAACTTATTCCTTAAATTAAATTGCAAATGAAGCCATGCCGTTTTCGCTTCTGCCAGACATACCATATCTTGGTTTATTCTTTTCAAAACCAGTTAACCATGGAATACCTCGTTGTCAGCTGATTCAAACTTATTCCTAAATTAAATTGCAAATGAAGCCATGCCGTTTTCGCTTCTGCCAGACATACCATATCTTGGTTTATTCTTTTCAAAACCAGTTAACCATGGAATACCTCGTTGTCAGCTGATTCACTTGATGGTCCCATCTGGGCATCGGCGAGGTCCCCTTGGTTACATGTCTGCCGTGCACACTTCTGCACCAATGCTTTCAAAAGTACATGTGGGTCAGCTACAGTTTAGGCAGCATGGCCAATATTCCTGGATTACCTCTGCGCCCACTCATAGTGTCGCCATTCACTTCATCTGTGATCAATTTTGACTCATTATGCAAAAAAGTCCTAAATTTTCACGCCACATGCTGGCAGCGTGCAAAAAGCCGTTAGAAGTCCACTGCTAGATAACGCTTTCGACTACCTCGTATTGAATTATGTTGTTTTATCCTTAAATCATTTCATATATTCGCAGTTCCTCTTGCCAGGACATCCACGATGTCGAAAATTTTTTCAGCTGTGCACGTGTCTTGGGATAATGGTCCGTATGTTTTTTGACGTCCTTGTGTTCTTGTATGTGTGTGGAACAGAACGATAATGAAACAGCAAATCAATAGTCCCATTTACTGGTCGATTCTAATTGAAGCGTTGTTCTGTTGGGGTAGAATTTTTGTGATTTGCTTTTCATAGGAAAACAGAGAGCTTGAGTGCTCCCATGCAGGAAATGACCGGATTTTTCTTCCTCTGACGGTGATGAAATCCCATAAAATATCCATGGGACCTCAGTAGATTTCCTCCACATTCCTGACTACTCAAATGAACTGCGGGTATTGAGAACAACTGTATTGTGGTTATTCACAGTCCTCAGAAAATTCCTCTTCTCATTGCTTTGTACAGCCTGCGGCAAACTAGTAGTTTCAGATGTTATTGGTTGTGGGAATTTGTAGAATGCAAACTCACATGACTTGTTCGAACAATCGTTCTCTTGTCCTTGTGCAGTCCAGACAAAAAGTGGAAGCGCTGCACTCTAGTTTCTCTCATTATAGCTCATCAACAGTGCATATCTTTGATTGTGTCGGGGTCCGAACTCCGGACATCTGACACGCAAAGCGAGCGTGTTACCACTACTCCACCAGTGCAAGCTGAACACATCTAAATTTTTGCGTCTGAACGGATGAACATGCAGCAAGATTAGACCTGACCTGGCTGGTTGTTTGGCGATTTGATTTCTCACAAATTAAGTCAAATACGAGGACACAAGCCTCTGCTATGGTCAACCTATCTCTTTGGTGATAACGCTAAAGTCGTGCACATGTCAGGAAGCTCTGACATTAAATTGTAAACTCTAAAATGTGGGCATACATTGTCACTGAAACTAGGAGCTTGGTGGAGCTTATATATAAAAATTATCGAAATTAATACATGTAAATCACAGTGCCTCTAACTTCTCACATCCGCTACTGACTAATCCCACTTAAGGTCGAGTTAGACAAACATGGCACGAACGTTTGGTCTAGTCTTTGTCCATTGCCGAGTGCACAATTTTTCAAGTTGCCCTGAATAAACTTTCATTTTTCATTCGTTTTCAGAGTTTACTGCCGACCCACCTTTGTCCCTTGAACGAGCCCGAAGAGCTACCGACTATGTAGTCCAAACAAGTTTCATGAAAGATTCTCCAACTGGGCAAAAGACTAGGAGTGGTGAACGAAAACGTGTTAATCTGGTTGTTCGATTTCGAAGTTTACTGTCCCGTCGTGGATCTTCGCGTTCGACAGCAGATACCAAACACCATCGTGCACATAAGATTCTCCTGAATAACTTGGAAGGAAAAGCCAGCCGAGTGGTGAACTCTGAACGCCTGACCAGCACACCAAGGACGGTATGGCCGAGTCCGTCACAAAGTTTAGATGCTGCGGTCTTCAACCCATTTAAACGGTCACGTTCGGACTCATTCCTCAGAAGAGGGTGTCATCCACAATTCGATGCCGCAGGTGAACCATCAGATTCAACCCAGCCCGGTACCTCATACATGGACACAGCACTCAGCCCGACGGCCATCCCGGAACAGTTGCCGTCTACCGAATGCAATGACGATCTAACCAAACAAATGCTCTCATTATCCACGGGGAATATATGTTGTTTGTTTGCACTCCGTTGTGAACCGTCTGTGGAATATCTAACGACATCTGCAAACCAATACTCTTCCAGACCAAGACGTCTCAGTCTCCCAGTGTCATCGCTAAAATCCACTACTACTAATCCGGCTTCATTATCCAAAAATCAGTTTGCCCTTAATCTTCTCAAAGAACATCCTTGCTTTCAGGATGTACATAGTAGACTGAACGATTGGGTACGAAACGCACTGGATAACACAGTCGAATCCGACAAAGGCAACCTCACAAAAGTGTATGTAAATGACGAGCAGGACTTTCTTGGTAGGCGTGTCAGGTTTGCAGACGAAGCTGCGTTTTCTTCCTCAGCTACCACGCTAAACTCGCTCTCAGCGTCCTCCTCGGCTCGTTCTCTGTGCTCCTTAACGTGTCCACAGGCTAGTCACTCTCCAATAGGCTCTTTAGACCAAGTCACCGTTCTTCCTACCCGAAACTATGAAACGTATCTCAAACCAACACCAGCACCAGTAGCACGCCCCAAGTCACCAGTTTCACGTTTTCAGAAGCAGTTCTGTCGCAAGCTGAAGCGAGATAACGCAAGGTTCGCAGAAGGAGGCGGTAGCAGTTTTGAACTCTCTTCAGCCGAATCCGGTTTGCAGATGGATAAAATGCAACGTTATAGGGAGAAGTCCCCTTCAGTAGCACAGCGTCTATGGCATAAGAAGAAGTCAAGACATCATGAAACTAAAGGTACACCGATGGTAACTGTGAACGTGATTAAGGATTCCTCCGAACCGCCAGAGGTGCCTTCCCATGTGTTGAGAGAACTGCATGTGGAAGAGGTAAGTCTGACATGTTGGCTTTTACAATTTAGGAAGGATAAACTGCTTTGTTTAATAGGCGATGGGTTTGAAATTGACCGATCACTTCTAGTTCTCTTGTTTGGAATGAAAAAGCCCAAATAATGCATGTTTTAATTGGCTTCACTTCACTTTCGTAGTTGTTCCCGCCGGATTCTTGTTGTGACGTGTCTGGGAATTCCTGCCTTTGTAGCGAAAACCAGGTCAAATTTATTTTCACATCATCAGCTAGCTTGCGCTTCTCGTACAACCTAGAAAGACGAGTGAATTTCACTATGAGAGTAACCTAAGACAATTAGCACAAGCATACCCGTCGAACACGGGTTAGGAAAGCGATTTGTATGACACTCTAGGTTTATGGCCGATAGCTCATCCGGTATCGCACTTATTAATGTACCTGGAGCTCTCTTGACAAACAGCTTTTTCAAAAACCTGAGTGGCATAGTGACAGTAATCAGTCACACGTTTCTAGGGTATCTCTGCAATCCTATCACTGCAGTTGAATCTGCCATTCGTCTGACTCAAATTTATTTGCAAAATCACGTGAATGATAAACGCCATTCATCGAAATGGCGCAAGTCGGTTCACTCACGGTGGTACACATGAAGATGGGTTGCCTATGTGAACCAGATAACTTCTTTGACCTCTTCCGTGAAGGTCGCTTTCAACTTTATCACGCCAATATGTACTTCTAGCTTAGAATACACAGTGGCCCATTATGTGCTTTCACCGATCCTTCCAACCCAGGCTACTGCGCGCCTACTGAAAACGCACGCATGATTTGGCCCCAGAAATGCCAGTTGGGACTTCACGTCGAGAGGTTATCTGAACCATCACCTGTGCGGCTGTCACTGTTTTTGCCACACCAAGCAGCCTAAGCAATCACAATTTACAATTAACTGAAATTGCTAGTCAATAAGAGTAGTTAGGTTGTGCAGTGTGAAAAGCCATAGCGACGTTGGTTTGTGATGATCGATAAAAGCGTATAAAGAGCTCAATTTATTGTGCATAAGGTACAGGTCTGGCTCGATGGGGCTGTGGCCTTTTAGGGAGGTTATTTCATGAAGTATCAAATCACCATACGAACTCTTTACCATACTTCAAGCAAATGAAATTTTGTATGTGATGCGATTTTTTTGTTGAGCAGTGTAGTTGACCACAAACACCACCACACACCGGATACGGCAGACTGATTTTTGCATAAACGCAGAGGAAACGTCAAAACACTCTACCGTTACTCAGCTGGTAGCACTCCTTAGAGTTATGGTAATAGTCTCCACAATGATTACGAACTTCTACCATGTCTGGAGAGTATATACACTTACGTCAAACCTAGCATTTGGCTCTTTCGACCTAGTGTTTTATTAACTAACATGCCCCTTACTGAAATTAGATTTTTGTGCGACTTCTTAGGTACGTGTCTCTATGTCAAACGCTTATCCCCTTATATTCCTATGGGTCTTATTTTTTATGTACTAATTAATTTGCCTAATTAATCAATCAGTTTTCATTCCAAGGGCACCAGCCTTTGGCATTTTGGGGAGGTTTCCGTAGATTAACTTTGGAAGATGTCCTTATAGCTAAACTGGAATTCAAGCTGTCTTCCTTTACCAAGCTTGTTCAGATGATATTTCAACCGCTACCAAGGAAGAGAAGCAGATTTGAGACCCAATTTGTGGTTTTCATGGCATCCACCGAAAATTCCTTTTCAGGCATTTTACTCCAATGAAATCCAAAGACCCAATGTCACCACTTTTAGAAACCCCAGACTTAAGGCTTCGTGACTACTAGATCTTCTTTGGCGGTCCTGAAAATTCAGTAACGGCTAATTTACTACTTGCTGGTAGGAAAATTTGTATGCAGTTCCAACAATTTCCCCAAAAAAATCAAACGATTACCTGTAACTCCCCTGTTTCACCTGGAAATCTACCACCCACTGTTTTCTCGATATGTACTCATATCTGTGCGATGTTTTTTTAGGGTGGTCTGAAGCATTAGGCTTAAAAGACAGAAGTTCCATGATCATTGGATGGATATAAACGAACGAATACGAGCTGCGAGTGGTACCTTCACCATGATGTCTCGTTTTACCTGAAAACAACTGTGGGGATGGTTTGAAACCAGGACCCCTTGATTTTCGTTGATCACTGCAGTGGCAACTCAGTTGTTTGTTTTCCAGCTTCCTGACTCATTAGTATCACTAACAATACTATCCAATATAGCCTACAAAAGTGCATTTTGTTTTTGTTCCCTATCACTCTGAAAAACGAAGTCATCTTTGTAAACAATAGCGGTCTTCAGTCATTTCAGACAAAGGGGTCACTTATGTCAGAAAATGAATGATAATCCGGACAAGACCAAAAGCATCCCATTGACTTTGTGTCAGGTCTTTCTAACAATAAGTACAGGCCTTCGCACTAATTGCTACTTATCTGAGTACCAACCATACACAATAAATTGTTGGCACTAATGAAACTGGTCAGAAATTCCCGCGATATACGGCACTGTTACCGTTGAGTTTCGGATTAACTCAGTTGAACGGTGAATGTCACCACACAATCGTTGGTTCCCGTTCGCATTCTGAAGAGTTGAAGGCCCTGTTGGCCTGCTTTTTTTATCGTTTCCTACACCCATTCAATCAGATTGGTTTCTACACCTCTGGGAAATCGAAGAAGTGTTCGTCTCCTGTGAGCACTTTCATATATTATTCTTGGACTGCATTTGACAGATGATTGAACGTAGCTCTTGGAAGACACTAAGTTATCTGAGCTAGGTTAACCCAATACGAGTATGCTTTCCTGCCCGGATACTGTGACTCATCCTCGTACCAACTGGCTGTTCAGTCTTAAAGTCTACGGTGGGCCGTAGCAACCCTGCAGACTGACTGGTGTACTACTGGTGTACCAGTCCGCATGCACTGACCTCGCACAGTAACGAAATAACATGGGATGCTTGCCACAACGAATATGACACCCGTATGATTAGGATAGTGTAGATATTTCGAGTTCCAGTGACACTGCGGTCAACAGTTATCGATGGAATCTCGTGAATGACTGTCGATGTTTGGCAGAGAGACACTGTGCTACACAGAAAGCCACCATCAAGTGTAAAACACAGATGTAGTGATCCAAAGGGATGCGCAAAATCATACTCGAAGTAGAATAAAATTTATATTCCTTAGGGAATCCTATACGAGACATGGACTTTTTGTTGAAGAGGAATACCGAGCAATTTGATTTGCCTCCAACGGAACCCACAACACAGTGGAAATCAGCCGATTATTCGAGTATCATGTTCACCAAAACTTTGCCAGAAAGATTATAGTAGCACCTTGTTTGTTGTAAATTAAAAGGAAGAAGCGCACCGGTTTTCTCCGTTACCTATATCCAATGAGTTTCAGTTTTCCTTTGATATATTCTGTATAACTTCATTTGCAGCTGCAGGGGCTACCACATTATGATCAGGATTACTGACTTCCAGCGCATGATTAACAATCTTTTATACAGGAATGATAACTTCAACAGTGGGAAACCTGGTTACGCACGGTCCACTGATTGCCACTGATCACGAAAAACAAACCACTGGAATGACGTTCAGATATTTTCTTTCCGGTGCGTATGGGGTACTCACATGAGATTAAGGAAACCGGTGAAGCCAAAAGCCGAGACATGATCTTACAATCACACTAGTTGGTCTGCGTCATCTCGGCTGAAACACTGTCAAACGTCGGTGGTGATCCAAGGATATCTGCTATGCGGATGTAATAGGCGGAACAAAATGAGAAAACCTATACTCACCAAGTTGAGGAATAACGCGAACTGTGTGAGGCGGAAAATAGATGGGTTGATCACCACATCGAGATATATTGGTGTTTTGCTCGAAACTAGATGTGCTAGAAAATTCCTATATCATTTTGAAAACAGTCACCTGTCTCTGAGGATATCATTAGAAGTTACTTTCATAGATGACCAGTTCGCTGGCGGCTGGGGATTTGGGACAACACATTTGTTCTAAATCTGCACTAAGTATCACAGAAATCACTGTGAACAGAATTCCTTGAAGACTGTCGGTGCCTTTCAGCGCACCTTGATACGTTCGATTAAAAAGCGCTCCCAGCTTTTCAAAGAAAGCTTTCTTCAGTGATGGGCTGCGTAAAGAGAGGCCGCATGCAGCTCAATGGTTATGCATGATTAACTGCTGTCCAATATCTTTTAATTCCTACCAAATTTCGTTCACATTTGCTCAGCTGAACAAAACATCGACTGTCAAACTTTCATCACTTGTGACGTTTACGATCTGGGAAATATCTTAGCACCTCATCTCTTTCGTCACCTGTGTGATTAATTTGTTGCCCTTGAAGTTGCTGTCAAAAGTTCGCACACTAACAGGCCAGCAGAACACGCCTCGAGAAGACCACAATCTACTCACCCAATGATTAACCAATTGGATAGGCGAAAATGGACCTTCTGTTATCCCCAGCGTTTACGTATCCAATCATTTTCCCTGCAAAGGATAGTGAACTTACCTTCCACTTTATCCGCCGAGACGGTGTTTACTTGATTCAGTGCACGGACCCGTGTGGACTGTACTGAACTGTGCGGAGGCGCGAGTCTCTATCAGTCAACGTCTACATCGAAAGAGTGGTGTGTACAATAACCTTCCGTCAAAGCAACTGGATAAGTATGGTATCCTCGGTTTACAGATACTGCAATCTCAAAAAGTTGTAATCCCAACAGGTTGACAAAAGTCAGTATACTTTGGTGCAAGCAATGCAGGTTCTGGTTTGATTCGAGCATATAAATTCATTCCTCACATTGTGTCCGTACATTCGCACGATTGCAGCTAGACAACCACCTAATTGTGTTACACTGTTCACTTAACTGGGGGTTACATTATACCAAAAGGTATGTCATACTCTTTTATACATTGCTGAGCTGAATATGTGAGTTTCGAGGAGGAAAACGACTTCCTCCTTTTCACCAGTCTACATGACCGGAAATTATTCTACAATGGGCGAGTTCGGAATGGCATAAGCTAAAATTTTGGATTAAATAACATGTGTCCTTTGTATCAGCATTCAGCGCAGTATCGCGATATATTCATCAAATGGATATCTCCTCATTCGCTCTGAATTAAGTCACAAACAAATCTGCTTCCGGGACGTGAAAGCGCAGGTCAAGATCACTTTCTAGTCAAACAACTCACGTTGAACGCAGAAAACAGTTACATAATTTGCACCGTTATCTGTCTATCATCCACCAAGTTCTCTAAGTTTTAGTCTACTACCACCTTACCACCACCTTATAGGAGGTGTAACCGGGATCTGCCCATCACCACACTGTCATAATGGTACTGGATAGCCTGGTGGTATTCCGTTAACCCTGCGTTAGTGATGTCATCCTCAGAATGACAATGTCTAGTGGAAGGTCACTAGAAAATGGAACTCTCGCCTGGGTTTCGGAAGGTATACCAGTGAGCATTTTTGTGACCCACAAAGGCTAATCTCAATAAGGTACGCGTGTCCACATGCTGCGGAAATCTCCATCATTAAGAAAATGCAGCCCATTCACTATGAGTTGTTTGTTTTTACATCATTGGAATGCGGCGAGTCTCGAAGCTCGTCACGTTAGCTTGGATATGTACTCTTTATTCCGTTCTACCGATTGCTGTGTCCTCTCATGGCCTAAAGCTTTAGTTCTATTATTCCAACTCAAATCAAAGACTTCCCCAATGGCGGAATTTAGGACTTCCCTGATTTCGAACCCCATTCTCCGATCGACCATAAAAAGTTGTGTTGAGGTGCGAATTCCGTTCATTCGTCTCAAACGGCCTAAGCAGCGGAGCTGGTTTCGCTTCTGACCTCATTGAATTCCAACGTCGTTTGCTTGTCGAAGGACTCCCCTAATGAGGGTTTGTTCACTCCATTTGATCTGAGGGGTGTTTCGTGGAAATTGCCGGTGAAATCGGTCAATAAACCGAATGTTTGTGTGATCAGCATACAAGTGATGGCTTCACAGTGACACAGTCTATTAGGCCATTTGGTGAGTTCAAGCGATGTCCACCCAACGTCTAACCACGCGTTCCTCTGAATTCCCATCAACTTTTCTCAAAAAGTTTGCTTATTCTCTCCAGTTTTCTCCATTGAGTTCACAGTCGTGAGATTTTATTCAGTGTTTGCGTTTTGACCGGTTTCTGACCAAGATGACCATTGGTCGCAGTCGTAGAGGCTTTTTTTCCAAATTTAGCTTTCAGACGGAACCGCACTTCAAAGGGTGTCAGAGTCAAAGGTAATCTACGACGCGAGAATCGTACACTCATACAACGCTTCGCTTATGTTGAATGCCAGAGGGTTATAGTTGTGAGGATTCGAGTACACCCTTCCTTCACTCACTGTTGATCACCTTACCGAAATAATTGGTTCCCCTGTATTTAACGCAAAACCAAATGATATATTCTTGGCTTTACATTGCTCATGTCATCACTTGACCTGGTGAGCATGTATTTCTTTGTTTCTTCTGTCTAGGATAGCCACCCAATTCATGGCCGACGTTTGACTAATGTTCCCCTACACCGGAATGATGTAGGTTCACCAGTGTGATCATAGGACTGTCTTGACTTTTGGTTTCACCGAGTCCCCTGTCTATACCACACCTGGAAAGAAAGCATGCAAACCTCACTCCAGTGGCTCGGTTTTCATGATAAGAGGCAATCAGCAGACCATACTCAACAGGTTTTCCAACTAATGAATTTATCATTCATGTATGAGGAATTGTTATTCATGCGCTTGAAGTGATAATTTTGTTCCTTCATGTATCGTTCCTTCGTTTGAAGATGACAGTATACAGGCATTATTGGTTATTATTATTATTATTGATGAACTGGAGAACCTTTGGTTTGACCTAGTAAACAAGGGCTTTGGGTCAGAGCAAAGAGTCTAGTGAGCATGTAGGATGGCAACCGACGGTAGTAAGACTTCTTATTTCAAACTGATTTTTCGCTGTGTATTTCCGACACCAAATGCAATTTTTCTACAACTGCAAACACAGTCTGAGGTCGAAATTAGGGTTGGGCACATAATTTCGTTGCGACCACTTTCCAGATTTTCTCTTAGGTTTTCACAAGTTTGTATTCTTTAGTTAGATGTATGAATGGCTTTTTTCAGCCACTTTCAATGCTTTGGTTCTCAATAGCTAAGCTAAGAATAGGAATGCCTTAGAAATTTCAAAGTTCATCCAGTAAATTATGCGCGCCTTTAAGTAAAGTAATATACAACATGATCACACATTATTTTGATTTCAGGATGAACCACGCTGGTGCAATCTGTTTGCAAACCCGGAGGATTGCTCAAACTTTAATCAACGTCTGGCCAGACAGCACGTGTGTCTGGGACGTCTTTTGTCCACGCACTTATCACATATTGAAGCCACTGTCCACGTGGTTGCACCAAGTCCCTTTATGAACCTCACTCCATTTGAGGTGAGACTGCGTTACACTCTAAACCACTGGGTCACAAACATGGAATCCGCGCCATTGAAAAAAGTGTTTATAGAAAAACGGGAACTGACTACATCTGAAGCACAATGGGTTGAACTGTATCGGGGTGTGGTGGATATCCCAACCAACTCACTACCCGAATCTCAATGGCTAACAGAGTTTGGTCAGTTCGAATTTGCGGTTGTTGCTCGTCGGGAACAATTCGAAATCTGGGACAATAATGACAGACAAAATTACGTTTGCTTTCGTGGGCTACCGGCAGACTAGCACGTAGTTGTCCACCTCTGACCATCTACAACTTTCATTTTCACAATGAAACTCACTGCTCACCCTCTCATCCTTACCTTTCACAACACAGCACAAACGCAGTTTTCCAAATGCGTCAAGATTTCCCCATTCAACCACTTAATCGCATTCTTGCCAACGCATTAGTCATTCGCCATGACTTTCCGCACTCGGATGCTAGCTTCCGGTGCGTCAATAGAATGCGCCAATGAATCCAGAGATTAATGTACATATATCCAATCCTTTTCGTGCGTCACATGACAAGTTTCACATCTAACTGCTCATTATTAACTGTACAGTAGTGCAGAAACTAATTATTTTCCATTTTTCACAGGCTTTTTTATAGTTCACTGATGGATTAAATTCATATTACCTATTTATTAGTCTTTTATTAACCGGAGGGTTTGCAGTGAAATGTGAGCTGAGGCCGCTTTCGGTATTCGTTCGATCGTCTGCCAAACAGGGATCGATCCTCCACTTTACTAAGATCGGTGCTTCACCATACTGACTGAAAATCAAATATTGGATGTGGCCATTCATGACTGGTATAAACTGGAGTTCGAGTAAAGCACTCACTAGGCTTTCCGTCCATAAATCTTGAATAGACGGGGTTTCCGAACACGACAGCGGTTTCCATAGGTACCTTGTATAAAAGTTATACCTGATCACTGTATTCATGTAGTCATACCGGCTCAGTTTTCTTCATCTAATGACCTTCAAGGTCAAAGTCTATCCAACACGTCTACTATTATGAAGTAGTGCCTGGTAATGGCAGAGTATTTCCAAGTCAAATGTCGGGCCATCTGGTGGGCAACTACTATCTTCTAACACCCGGAAAATCAATACAAAATACCGCACAAAAAAGCCTGTCGCTCGATCAGTGTTATCCCCCAAAACCAGTCTCACGCCATCTCACAAGCTGTGTGAATAAATTTACACACCAAAAACGAAACCAGCTGTTTTGGAGTGGAAACTGACTTCACGTGAATTCACGCACCAAGAGTCGTGTGTGTAGCGGGCCCTTGAACAGTCTTGCGGCACCTGGCTTCCTAGCAACCAGTCATCGGTTACGCATCTATCCCAGGTCATCTCCTCGTTGCATTTCTGCAAGAGTCCAAATCACTGTTGCCCCACCCGATGAGGTCCACATGCAATTCTACAAGGCCTGTTAGAGTACTCTTAATATCAAAGCCGCGACCGTCATTAGAAAATAAACGTTCGGTTCCATTTTTAAATCCTTTGGGAAGAAAACCAACCACTACGCGTCGGCTTACATGGTATGGTTGTTGAATAGACATACAACAAAACGCTGTATAATCTCTTGTCTCCAAATAACCACTGTCAGAACATGAAAGGAGGCAACTCCTTGTAGTTTGTTTAACAACTCGAAGTTTCAGCAACTAAAGCTGTAGTCTAAACTGTGTAACTGCTTTCGATAAGAAAAATCACCCAGACTACTCGTATGCTGTCATTTTTTTCTGATCACGTCACTTTTATTCTGTTGGAAGCAGGAAGACTGCATCATGAGAGGAATTTTGTCTCACATTTGAAGTCAACGCATACTAAAAATCCGAGGCACCGCACGGCTGCATTATCCTTGATGCGAATAGTCAGTAGCAGGTATCACATATAGTTAGATAGATTTGAACAAACATCCTTTCGGTTGATCGTCGAACACCGCCCTCCGGCCTATTCGGGCGCCTCAGGAGCCAGAGTAAATCGTCACGCTGTCTCTCCACGTGTAGTTCATGTTACGGACTTATCAAGTGAAAATTTTTTACAGCAAGATGTAAAGCGTTTTCCTTCAGAAGCAGGTAAGGTACTGGGGAAATATGAAGTTCCTGATCTGACTTCATTCTGCTGGTGACGTGAGCCTCAGTTGGGGGGCTGCGTAGTCCTCTACAGTTATTTCTTCTTTTTTGGATTGGCTAGCGGCTTCGAAACTACAGTCAAACACAACCCCCCTAGAGTTAAGTGCGATGCACATAACCGATGATTCCAAGCAAATACGAAGCAACCGTCGAGTGCTTTCAGATGTATCCACATGGGTTTACTTCATTTTGAGGATGTATCTGTGTATAATTCTAGTAGCCCTCTGACCTCACTATCCCTCACTGCTCCGACTGTCCTGGCTATAACTAATTTCAGTGAATAGAAAAGTGACGCCAAACGATGAAATAATCCTATCTTCCCCTATCTTGATGTTCCGTTAGTTGTTCAGACACTGTCCAGCACTGTTCATTTCGTGGTCCGATCCTGCAATCTGGTGCTTTATTCTTTTCCATAGGCCTTTTCGATATGCCAGAGTGATTGTCCGATTAGAGCTCACTACAGCAACCCACAGAATGATGAAATATTAGTGCCATCAGCATTGCTTTCCTCTGGTTCCTCGTTTGCCATCGGCCATTCGGCCGATCACTTTTAAAGTGAAGCGCGGATCGTCTGGTCAAAAGTCAACCGCGAAATGCACTCCGACCTGTCGAATGATCCCTTTGGAAACGTCAGGTTTCTTCGCAATGCTTGTTCAACTGGCTGCTGCAAGAAAAGTTTGTATGAGATATCTGTAATTTCTTTATTCGTAGTAGATCAATTGAATGGACTAGTATTCACCTGAACATGAAAGAAACTATGGGTTTGTCAATCAGAAAATTCAAACCGAATAAAAACCTGGCAATAACATCTGTGAACTTTACTTGTTTTATAGCACTCTGAGTATACGGTAAGCAACCTCGAGTTTGCGCTTAGGAGATATCCAGTTACAATTGCATACAGCTGATTTGGCATTTAGTGAGCAGAATTCCCGGCGGTTAGTTGTCTCCTTGTTGTCAGCAACATGGTATCCAACGTTTGCATTTCCGGAATTACTTCGTTAGTTCGTTTCTTATCTGATGGTTAAGACGGTAAAATAATGAAACTCTTAAGAAGCTAAGAAAAAGAATTGCCCAGACAGTTGACTGTGAACCCAAACTGTTACCTAGTTGGATGCTATAACCCAGTATAAACGGTCGTTGCGCAACTGGGCAAAAATATGTGTATCATGGACAAATTTCAAATTGTTTTTGACAATTTTGTAGCGTACGTCAAAATTGCACTACAACTGCCAAACGGTGCCATTCCTAGTCTTCGAAACTCTTTCTAAATGAGGCTAAAAGATTCGTCTGAGTTGATTACGTGAACGGTGTTCATAGTGAGTGATACAGTCTATCTTTTGAGTTTAGGGGTGCTCGTCAAGGCGGATGCCCAACTTTTTCATTGAACACTGCTGTATCATTCGGCAAACGTTTTGCGTTAGAACAAACGGAATAAGGAATGCACAGACACTTTTTCGGTGAGACCAAAACATCGTCTTTGATGTTTAATTTGAGCTGAGTTATTGATGGTGGGTCAGGAACCTAAAGTAGCATTGAGAGACATATGTTGTGAGAATTGAAATAAGTCGCGGTTGAACGCCTCTAACGGCAGTTCATTCTTATGTGGACGGTTAACCTCCTCATCCAGATATCTTTAAACGTGCTCGGCAAATTGTACTACTTTCAGACAGTTGATGTCCGTCTTTTCTAATCTGTACTCATCGGCTAAATTGTTTTCAAATGGTCACGAGTCTTAGTGGGCTTTAATACTCGCCAGAGTATTTATTCGTGCCCTTCCTACTAAGCACTTTGAATTTCTATCAATCATCACTGGTGTGCGTGACGGACAGGCAATGAGGCCATAAAAAACAAAGCACTTTAATCTCTATTGTTTGCTTATCATTTACGAATACGTATGTGAGCGCGGTGTGAATGACTGATGGCAGTGAATTTTTCTAAGTTTTCCAATCAATTGGGAAGAGTTTGGATTAAGAAATAATCCTTATCGTTAAATACGTGTTTCCGACAATGGAGGCAGAGAAGCTACACATACAGCTGGTCTAATTTCTCAAGTCACATGAGCCAGGAGTTTCAGATATTAAACCAGTGGAGCGCATAAGGGCAAGGCCACCGTTGCATTGAACAAGAATGATTATGTACAGAAGGATAACCAACACTTAGTTGAGGGTCCTTACCGGAAAGTGGATTGTAGGAATATCACGTCTATAATTAATAGGAAAGAAGTTGAATTTAGAAGGTATTTACGGCCCGCTTAGGGCAAGCTAATTGATATCGATTGTACCCCAGGTGCAATACAATCGTGGCTTTATGGTCTGCTGAAAATCCATAAACTTGATGTCCCTGTAAGACCGATAGAAGACAGTTTGGGTTAGTCACCCCCTCATCTGGTCAGATTTTGGAGATTCTAGTACTTACATTAGGATTTCATACGACTTTGCCAACAAAGTAGTGGGTGTCACCGTGGAACTTGAAGACATTCTTGTAAAGTTGGATGTCAATTCGTTATATACAAATGTTCCATAAGAGGACTGTTTGGAAATAGCTAAGTGATTGCTGTTGCAGACGCCACACTTTCAGAACGGACACGGCTTAAAATGGATGAAATTGTGGAAGATATGAAAACACACGTGAATCTCACTCACTTTGTTTTTGACTCCGTGGTTTACACTGAAGAACAAGGACTTGCAATGGGATTTCCAATATCTACGGCTTTGACAAATATTTCTATCGAAGATATTGAACAGAAAGCTCAAAAAAATATTCTGACGTGCTGTAGACGACACGATTGTTGTGATGTAACGAGACAGAGTTAGTAAGTTTTTCAATTGTCTTAATGACTTGAATCTACATATCAGATTTAGCACGGAGATGGAGTCAACTTCGGGTACATTATCCTCCTTGAACTTCATGGCAAATAAGGTCCGGGGAGAACAATAACACCTGTGTATGATAAATCAAGTGACACTCGGGTACTTATGAACTACTCGTCTGTCTATTCGATTTCCGTATTCGCTAGTCATACCCCATCAATGTAAAGGCCCTGAAGAAGAAGTTGAAGGCAGAAGAAGTTGATCGGACAGCGGCCCACGTTGAATTAATGAACATACCTTGTGTTAGTAGATATCCAACTAATTTGATTAGGCGTCAGTTGGTACCGGGGACGAAACTCAGTATGGAATGGGTTGGACCGCTATTATTTCATACAAACCAGGGACATCGGAAGTAATTCGAAGGATTCCAAACACAGCTAACATAAGAGCGGCTTTCCAGAAGAGAAACTCTCTATGCTCTGCACTGGTGCAATCGAAGAATCGCCTCCGGGCGAGCATAAACAATGATTTTGTCTACAAGATTAAATGCACCAACTGCATTAATGTCCATATAGGGCAGATGGCCAGGGAACTTTACACCAGAATCAGAGGGCACGGGAGAAAAACAAACAGGCCACCGAGGAACGCAGATCAATATCGAGCGTTACTGAAAGAACTTTAATGGCGGAACAGGAATTGGATACGAGGCACAAAAGGGATTTTGATGCGGGAACTACGGCTCACGCCACAGGGACTGATGCTCGATACAGTGGAAATCGCTGAGCACATTTGCAAATAGAATAGAAGGCGTAGAACTGGTAAGCATGTGAACTGTGTTAGACCAGTTGAGTTGACAAGTGGTGGTGTGCGGTTATCAGAAAGAGGAGTTATCATCACACATCAGATCTGAAGGACGTAAACCAGAGCATCCAAAATTTCCACTTGATCTCATCCCCACCAACTAAATTGTAGTAACACTTACAAGCCCACACATACCAACAAAATTCATCAGTGACACCCAAGTTGAATCGTTAACTGAAGCGCTTTGAGCCAAAAGATCACAGAACCAAACTCGATCAAAATACTTTGAAATCCCTCAATCCATCCATCGTAAGAATTAGGCAACCGGATTAATTGACAAAGCTCTTTGATATTCAGCACTATTCTAGTGTACCAATCGGAAGACGTCTGGCGGATTAGTTCTCGGTTTGCCTTAAAACCTGGCAGTTTTGGTGACCTGCTCACTTGGCCTGATGAAGCGTTTGTGCCAAAAGCGGAACGTTGCAGAAAGCTCTACTGATTATTTCTAATGTGGTTCAGTAGCAGAGGGCCTGCCACCTACCTTATAGCTTGCAATCTGATGTTCGTTTTGCGCCTGATACAGCCAATACAGCCACACGGTCAACAGAGATACCAGCAGCAAATGTGGCACTACAATGGTTTCACTCGAGCAACACACCTATCCTGGTTCTGTTTAGTCTGTTTTCACGGTCAGATGAATAAGACTTTGTGTGCTCTGTCAGACCACCGTAAACAGCTTGGCTTATCTTCATGCGATTGGCGTCACGTATTGTCACAATCAGCTGACGTTAGCTGAAGAGGTGACGTACACCTCAACGAAGCCATCTCAGTGAGTGAAAACGGTCAACGCTAAAACTTAAGGCAGTTACCTGAAACCAAACACATTAAAACGTTCGGATAGCTACACAACACTAATGGGTTATACCTTTGAAGTCAGATATCTACGTTGAATAACACTGTAGAAGTACAATAATGGAAATAGCCAAAGTTGCTAAAATTCGCTCGCGTCGGTGCCAGATGAATGGTCTTGACGCTGTGCGCGTCAAAGTTACTTTCCATCAGATACAACTTACTGTGGGTTGTGTATAATAGTGTGAATATCTGTGCGACAGCCAGGAATACCTGCCTTTAAAAATGTATCCAAGCTAACACAGATTCAGTTACAGTCGTTGGGAGAGGATGCTGAGTCTCTTATTGTACCAAGAAACCACTGCAGTTCCTAAAATAACACGATGCTTCTGTTTAGCCTCTGTGAGTTATTTCTATCAGGATCAGAGTGTCTACGAGAAATAAACTCATTTGCAAATCAATTTGGCTTCCACGGGAGACTCAATTGAATCTCCCGTTTATGATGTCCTACCTGATGAGCCCCAAGAAAGGCGAAACCGGTCGTGGACTGTCGAAGAGTTTTCAGCAACCCTGTGAGTAGCTTCCTTCATGAAAACATACTGCGATGTCTCGAATATCGTACCAACTGAAACATGAGGCGGCCTGTGCGCAGCACATTCAGCTGGTGGACATCATAAACGAGAGATTCAATTGTCTCCCGTGAAAACCAAATTGATTTGCAAATGAGTGTCTTTCTCGAAAACAGTGCAATTTGGGTTCAAGTAGATCATAAGGTTGACGGAAACTCGGGGACTGCGCCTACCTGATGAGCCCCAAGAAGGGCGAAACCGGTCGTGGGCTGTCGAAGAGTTTTCAGCAACCTTATGAGTAGTTTCCTTTATCAGAGTGTCTAACTTTCCGTTACATTGTATTAAGTCACCGCAAATTTCATCTCAATCGGTGGCATGGTTTTCTGATTGTCCCGGTAGCTTCATGGAATATTGTGTAAGTACTGAACAAATGAAGCGGAATTTTCACTGAGTTTAGATCGCAAGCACGATCGCATCTTATCTGAAACTCTGCTGTTAATGCTGTGTCAGTCTAATCACAACAACTACCGCTGACGGATCGACGTCTCCCAGCAAACTGCGTCGATTCATTTTGATCATTTTTAGGCTTACAAAAGGCACACATCGTGAACCTTGTTAGTATGTAAACGACGAAACATATCGCCATTTTGATGTGCTTTCGAAATACACGAATTTAGTAGTTGGCCTGGCTAAGGCATCCATCAAGTTTTTGGAAAGATATGAAGGCAAGGCCTGGATAAGTCCCACCTCACAGAATTATCTAAGCAGTACATAGCTTTAAAATTTTTAACATGTACTTCAAAAGTCGCCACAAGTTATCATATGCAGTGCGTGTCACAGAATTGCGGAATATTCGTGGATTCGCGCATTGTGAGATTTCAAAGGCCACGTGGAATGAGTGTCACCGTCCGGATATGAAAGCAGTTGGGAGATCTCAATGGGACTACATAACCTCTAAAATGAAATCTGATACATTGTACACCTCCACAGAAATCGGAAACTGAAGGATAAGCATCATTACATCCAGCCAGCTTTTATGTTTCCTTTGAGGAAATTTCATGTTCCATCTGGTACGTCTTATAAGAAATACATCGTGGCATTAAAAAAACATAGGACACTTAAAACCTGTCCTTCAAAGTCAAAATCAATATATCACGAATACTACCTGACCTGTAATCATGAGGATACCACTACGGAAGGGTCTATTTCTGATTTGTTAACTACCCAGAGAGATAAGCTATTGTAAGTTCGGTGTTTCCTTAAAACTATGGTTGCCACTCAGTCACACTTCATCACAAAATAGCAAATATTTGATAAGGTTCAAATAACCCAACCCTCAAGTTTGTCCGTATGCAGACCTGTAAATATTGCTCAACCGCAGAAGTGAAGTCAAGTGGACTTTCCACACTAATCTCCGCAAATGCACATCAGCAAAATATGCTATTTCTGAAGCATGCTTTTTGTATTGAGTCACGACTAAGAGAGAGGCTGAGAACTTGGGCACGTGTGTTTGTATCAAACTCCAAACCTAGTTCCAACTAGGTTCTGCTACAGCCTGATCCTGTGGTTAGCAATGAAACGTTTTCATTAAATAGTTGCGTGTCCAGTGTCTCCAAATCCATCCAGTTGAGTCCTGATAATAAGAAAACAAAATTATCAAAGTAAATTAGACTGGATGGGATAGCAGTATCGGTTCATTTATCTCATGTAAAGTACTAATTCGTACCAAATTGCATTTTTGGGTACTTGGCGTTTTAATTTGCTCGTATATCATCATAGCACCGAGTGCATGGTCAGTGTAAGGGTATAGGCGCACCACAGGTGCCAAACTGTCCAAAAGTTGCAAGCGGATCGTTCCACTCCACTGGTACACGTGACTGGTCAGTCGGATGCGCGACGCACCGCTTGTGAGTTGCCATGCCGGGTTTCGTTTGTGATCATGGGACTGTCTGTCTGACTGCTGTCCAGCAGACGGTTCTGATCACTGGACCGTTGTTATTAGCAGTAGGAGAATGTATGCGAACAAATAGAACAGTGACTTCATGAAATGTCTAGACAATCATGAAGCTTGTTAACTAGTCAAAGGTTACATGTTATATTTTCGTCTCCTCTAGATCCTCTTTTTACACACAATAAAATTATTGTTTGTGGTTGCCAAATACAATTGAATAAATAACACCAAACCGTCAGAGTACAAATCAAACATCTTTCCCACCCCGCTGCCTGGCAGAGCTCGTGTGTGCGGAGTAGTAGTGCATGGTAAAATAATTTGGCGGTGTATAGGACTGCATCTACATAAGTGATTTAAACCATTTTTTGTAGTGAAAAGTTGCCTAGAAGTAGCCTTATTGGTAATGGTAATCTTTGTTGGGGTAGGACACCTTTTTATGTTCTTCTAATACAGAAGCGTCCACTTACGAGAGCCATAAACTTTGATTCATCCTAGCG